AAATTCAAAAGGAGGGGGCGGCTAGGTTTTGGGAGGGAGATTAGATTAGGGAAGTTTTTGTATTAAGAGCAAGAGATATTTAGGGAATCATTATGTTTTGATTGGTTCTCAATTAGGTTTTCTTGTCAATTTGGGCTATAGACTCTTTTATCTAGAGATTTGGGAGAGACGATCCTCCTCTCGAATTGAGGATCTCTTGTATCTTATTTTTCTTATTGTTTGGCTTTGATTTTCCTACCGCAATATATTGTTTTGGGCTGTTTTCACCCAGATTTCGCATTATTCTCGCTGTTTTTCATCAATTGGATATAGATTTGCTTGTAAACTCAAGTATTACCATTAGGGTTACTTGCGAACTCAAGTATTTCCTATCAACAACATGTGCATAACTTGTGTGAACTGTGAAGATATTTGCAAGAATTTAACAACTTATTATGATGATTAAAGTTTTCTACTGATGTGAACATTTTCTTTGTGGATTTTAAACCAAGTTATAAGGTAGTGGTGCTCTCGTCTCCAAAAAGGTCTTTACATTAGACTTTTAGTTATTAAATGCAAGAAATGCATGTTCATTTAAAGTTATGCAGATTAAATTTGAAAATTGAAATTTTATGGATCTCTAGCATTAGATTAATCTTGAAAGCATCTGATTTTATTTTAGTTTATGAACCCACAACAAATATCTTGAATTTTTCATAACTTTGATCTCCTCGTAAGTTTATATCCAACATCATGCCAAAATTGCACATTTCTTGTTAATGAAGCTATAGAGATGATGAAATTGTGCCCCAAACTGTTGGTGGATTCCAAATACATCATATGTACTGATGTGAAATACTTCTTTATGATGATTCTTGATTACATTACAACAAGCACGAAGTTTATGTCATGATCTGTTTGGTAATATAAACTCTACATTTGTTAGGCTAAATTTTGCCATATCATGTTGATTAGATGGAGATGTGAGGGTCTCACTCATTAAAGTGTAAAGCTTGTGTGCTATGATAGTTTGATACCTTAATTGTTGGTTTTGTTTTTGCGTTGTGTTTGAATCCCAAGTTTGGCTATTATAGTGACAATGATTTTTCTAGTATTGATCATTTATTATAAATGACCCCGTTTATGGAAGAAAGAAATTGGCAAAACTTAGAAAATATACATTATATAGAGAGAATATTATATGGTTGGATTTGGAAGAACCGAAATGACGTAAGAGTTATTTTTAAGATATTGTTGACCTATTTATTTGATTGAGAGGATCGTAGTCAGATAACGGTAGTCAAAAGCATTCAAAACATTGACATTCATAAAAGAAAAAAATTGAAACATCGTAAACCACTAAGATCCACAAAATAAATCAAAGTCAAAATTGAAAAAAAAAAAGAAAAAAAGAAAAAAGAAGAAGACAATAGGGTTCAACAACAGAGCATACTTTTAGAAAAAAAAAAAAAGATAAATGAAAGAGAGGAAGTCTAACTGAGTTGAATGGGCCACAAAAAAACTTCAACATTAGGAGATAATAATTTTTTTTGAAACGGGAGTATCTATCCTCTATCATTCTAAAGGGAGCGTTTGACGGCGTAACTAATATTTCAGCGGAACCTAGCGAGGCCACTGAACAGTATCGGACCCACACTTGCTTTGCCCCACTGAAGAGGCGAGGCCGTAGTAGAAGGGATTCGAACCCGAGATGGGAGGTTCTCAACCGTGCTCGCCCACTAACCACCCTAAGCCTTAGTGGGTGAGATAATAATCTCAACTGAACTCTAAATGACATCCTGAACACATTAATCATCATCGTCCTCATCGTCTTCATCAACACCTTTCTCTCCTCATAACTCAACTTCTTCAAATTGTACCTGACAAGTAAAAAGAAGAACGCAGTAAATAAAAGTAAATAACAGAACAAACTAAGAAGCTTTTGGTAGCCAATTCCGATTCAAGCCACAAATGAAGGAAGATGTGCTTTAAGCTTGCAGCAGCCAGAACCTTATAGAACTAAGTCATAAATGGAAGATAGTAATTTAAGTTGCGTTTGGAGCAGCTTTAACACAGTTTTGCTTTTCATATAAAAATTAAATTTCTATTTAGCTATTGTTTTCCTGCTATATATATATATAGGAGCTCTTTGTTTCAGCATTATTCTATTCAATGAACTCAATTCTTGCTCTTACGTTTCTTTCTGTTTCCTAGTTCTGCATTAGTTTCTAAACTTGCAGGTTTTCGTGGTATCAGAGCAGGTCTCCTAAGAGCTGTTCTTTGCTGTTATTTCTTCTTCCTTCCCTCCCGTCAGCATGAATCCATCAGTTGATTTTCCCATTGTTCTGTCTACAACAGCAACAGAGGCTGGCTTTTCTCCAGAGAACATGTTATCCCATCTCAACTCAAATTCTTGATGACAAATGTCAATAATATTATTGTCACTCCTCTAACAGCGGATAATCATCCGACCTGGAGATCTCAAGTTCTCAAAATTTTTCGTGCCAATGGCTTCCAAGGCTTATTGGATGGTTCCTGTGTATGTCCAGCACAATATGTTACTAATGCTGCTGGTTTAACCGTGTTAAATTATCAATACACCACTTGGTTGCTGATTGATCAAAATCTCGCTGCTGCCTTGTACTTAGTTATTTCTCCAGTTATTCTACCGTATGTGCTATCTCTTGATCATTGTGCGGATATATGAACTACCCTTGGACGACGTCTTCAATCTACCACTAGATTCTAGATCAGTCAACTTAAAAATTGTGATTCATCATTTCTCTATGAAAGATCAGTCTATGGCACAATATTTACTGGAGATTAAGTCCAAAGTCCATACTCTTGCTATAGTTGGTTCACCACTTGATTTCGAGGACATTATTCACTATATGCTAAATGGACTACCCCGCCTCTTATCAGGCGTTTAAAACTGCTATCAGGACAAACATCAGCCTCTGAATTTAGATGATTTATATACTCCACCATGTAGCGAAGAGTTAAATTTAGCGCATGAAGTTACTCATGATTTACAGACCCTTCAGATTTCTGGCAACACAGTTGCGCTTGCTGCTCCTAGAGGTTGTAGTCGCGATCAATTTCCTCTGAATCGTGGTCGCTCATCACCTTCTACCAAGTCCAATCGGGCTCCTGCTACTCCTCCTCGGATTTGAGTCGGATTTTCATGTCTTGTCAAATATTGATGCCCCTACTCAATGAAGGGTTGCTTTTAGTGAGCATTAAATGCCAAATTTAAGTATGAAAATGGCTAAAGATGCTATAACCCTTTGAGTAGAGAAAGGCTCTAGAGGCAATTCTGTGTACTGCAATATGAATATATTCCCTGCATTCATACGAGATCTCCACCAACACATACTATTACACATGTCTTTCAAATATGTTAAAAAGCTCTACATTATTAATTAACTACAAATAGATAAAAATGTAATCATCCTCTAAAATAAAAGCACGATGTTATTATCACTTAAAAAGAAGACCCAAGGCAATATAGTTCATTAACAATCTTTGGCAAAAAATAAAAAGAAATCTTGAGAGCACCAAAAACATGGTTTCCGGTTGTCGTCCTAACCGACCATCGCCAAACTTTTGCCCAACGACAGAACACCGTTGAACTTTCCCTCAACCACAGGCCATTGCCGGATTTCTGCTTGATCAACAACCGCCGTCAAACTTCTACCCAATTTCTTAAAGTACTGTAATTTTACCATTTCCAAATTAAAAGGACAAATCAAGTTTTATAACTCACTCAAATTTAGTTGAACCATTTCGACTAAGCGTGAATTGTGATTTTTTTTTTTTCATTTTCTAGGGTTTTTCACACAAAAAATTATGGTGTTTTATCTTCTCTGTTTGTGTGCTAAATATCGATGCAACATTTAGACGAAAAACTCACTCACTCTATTGATGCCTTAGAGATTTATAAATTAAAGATATTGAAAGAAATTATTGATATATTCTTAAAAAATTGTCATGATCGGGCACGAATTTCAAGGCAAAAATCAACCCGGAAAACTTCAAAAATTAAATTCGGGAGCACCTGAACTCCGATTTCAGCGAGCTTATAGTCAAACTGAGCGTCTCGGAAATACGAACCCAACGACACCAAATTCAACCCAATCCGAGTCCAAATGAGTCCAAATCAAGGACCTGAAGGGCTTTTGGAAGGTTCAAACCACAATTTGAGTTGCCAAACGGTCTCCAATTTTAAACGAATCTTATACTCGAATCGAACGGTCGACGAACGAATCCAACGAGCCAAGATCGCCGAATTCCGACATCACTAAGGCTTCAAAATGTCCAACAACGGTGCACGATCGTAGGATTCAATATCGGCCGTCCATTCGACCACTCCCTATTCGCCCCGGTCTCACGTCTATTTAAGAGCTATACACTCAGAAAAACTAATAAATTAGCCCTCATTCTTCACAAAGGGGATCAAGTGAAGAGAGAGAAGAAAAGGTAAGAAGAAGAGAAAGGGGAAAGGGGAATAACTCTCCTCCTCGACCACCCCGGAGCTCTTCCCGCGCCTGAACACGCGGAACTCTGCCGGATTTCGGGAAACGAGGATTCTGCAAAACTTGTATAATTTGCTTCAAGTTGTAATTGATCGTCCCGATTTGTGGGACAAATAGTTTCTTGTAATTTATAAAAAACACTAGTGAAACTTTTCAGCTGGGTGCACTCGTGATTTTTCCCTCTTCTGGTTTTCCACGTAAAAATCATGGTGTACATTTTCTTTTCTGTTTGTGTGCTGAATATTCGTGCAACGCTCGAAAGTAATTTTTAAACTCTTACCGCCGCTATATTCTAGCCCGCACAGATTATTTTAAATAAATATCATTAAAAAAGTAAACAGAAAATGAGCAAAAAAAAGTGTTAAATAGCTATTCAATTAAATAAATATAAAATTCAAACTAAAAAAATAACTTAAACTTAAAATTATTCATATTAAATAGTAAAAGTTAATAAGTGTTTAGTTTTTTTTTTTAATTGTAGGTTGACATACTGTGGGGCGCGTGTTGCTATTGTCCTACCACAAGACACGTAAATGCGGCGATCTCCATCTCCTTAGCTTCCAGCTTGAATCAATAAGCTTCCTTGAACCCTAATCAAACATCACATCCACAGAGGAGTTATCGAACCAGATTCTGCTGATTTTCATGGCGTCGGAGATGGTGGGATTTCCTCCTTTTTGATTCTAGTTAACTGATAAGTTGTGAGGAGGGAGAATGGGGCAGGCTCTACGGCGAGCTATGGGTCGGATTCCGAGCTCGGCGAGGACCCGGCCGTCGCCGCGCCCTCCTCAAAATGTTTCCTGTAACCCTGAGCAGGTTCCTCGGTTGCCACATGATGGCGCGGCTGCCATCCGGGAGCGTCTGGACGTTCCTCCGCCGGGTGAATGATTTTTGCTTGCTGTATCTTGTTATCTTAATTTTTTGCTGTGCTGAATTTTAAGACTAACTGACCCTTTTTCCTGTTAACACTTCATCTGGATGATAACTATGGGATTTATGAACTAACTTGACGAGGCTTGGAAAGCGATTTATAGGGTGAAGAATATTTTATTCTTTTTTTTTGCGTCATTAGAAAGAAGTCGCTGATTTATTTGTGATGTTATGATGTTGCTAATGAACTTGAAGTTGCGATTCATACATCTATTATGTGCTTCGTGGTTTGGAGCTGAGTGTTTTGTTTAATTTAATTTTCCAATGCCTGTATGTTTAATTTTTTTATGGAAAAGATGGTCACAATTAACATTTTTAATTGTTTATTACCCACAAATTGATGGGCAAACTTACTGTTGCAGTTAATAGGAATTTTGGTAGTTAGTTATTTTGTATAATCTTGGAGGTGATAAGAATCAAAATGATTACTAACTCTTTACGAATGAGTAAAATGCTCCGGGACTATTTTTAAAATCCCATTTTTGTAGCTTGACCTTTTAAATAGGGACCTAAATGATTCAACATAATGATTAATTTGATCCCTATTTAAAGAGTCTAATGATCACATTAGTACTTTAATATAGTCGGAGACTATTTTGATCATTCATTAAAAAGTTAGGGAACCAATTTGGTCATTTTCTATTTTCTCAATGTTTGAGCATGTATTTGGTTGGAATTTGATATTTCCTATGATTGAGCTTGCACATGATTTGTCGATAACTAAGTCCATTGGAAGTTGTTATAAGATTTTAACCTAGAAAACCTACTAAATTTGTTGTACTTCTTCTATCGAGTTTGCACAATTATTTACACAACTGTTAGGCCGGTTCACCCTGAACCGGCCCAGCCGGCCCAACGACTGGCTCGGATTTATAGGATGCAGAACATGCCCACCTCCCTTGCTCTTGCCTGCCCACATGGTGGGCCCCAACTTGCCTAATGGATTTCAAATTCAAAAGGAGGGGGCGGCTAGGTCTTGGGAGGGAGATTAGATTAGGGAAGTGTTTGTATTAAGAGCAAGATGTTTAGGGAATGATTATGTTTTGATTGGTTCTCAATTAGGGTTTCTTGTCGACTTGGGCTCTAGACTCTTTTATCTAGAGATTTGGGAGAGACGATCCTCCTCTCGAATTGAGGATCTCTTGTATCTTGTTTTTCTTATTGTTGGATTTGATTTTCCTACTGCAATATATTGTTTTGGGCTGTTTTCACCCAGATTTCACATCATTCTCACTGTTTTTCATCAATTGGAGATAGATTTGCTTGCGAACTCAAGTATTACCCTTAGGATTACTTGCGAACTCAAGTATTTCCTATCAACAACATGTGCATAACTTGTGTGAACTGTGAAGATATTTGCAAGAATTTAACAACTTATTATGATGATTAAAGTTTTCTACTGATGCAAACATTTTCTTTGTGGATTTTAAACCAAGTTATAAGGTAGTGGTGCTCTTGACTCCAAAAAGGTTTTTACATTAGACTTTAAGTTATTAAATGCAAGAAATGCATGGTCATTTAAAGTTATGCAGCTTAAATTTGAAAATTGAAATTTTATGGATCTCTAGCATTAGATTAATCTTGAAAGCATCTGATTTTATTTTAGTTTATGAACCCACAACAAATATCTTGAATTTTTCATAACATTGATCTCCTCGTAAGTTTATATCCAACATCATGCCACAATTGCACATTTCTTGTTCATGAAGCTATAGAGATGATGAAATTGTGCCCCAAACTGTTGGTGGAATTTCAAATACATCATATGTACTGATGTGAAATACTTGTTTATGATGATTCTTGATTGCATCACAACAAGCACGAAGTTTATGTCATGATCTGTTTGGTAATATAAAACTCTACATTTGTTAGGCTAAATTTTGCCATATCATGTTGATTAGATGGAGATGTGAGGGTCTCACTCATTAAAGTGTAAAGCTTGTGTGCTATGATAGTTTGATACCTTAATTGTTGGTTTTGTTTTTGCGTTGTGTTTGAATCCCAAGTTTGGCTATTATAGTGACTTGCAATATTTATCATGGTTTCAAATCTTGTAGCAACTTGCATGTTTATCCAAAGGGCTAGATGATGCCTGCGTTTACCGAGAACCGTGACTTCACCTATTTCATTAGAGTTTTTATTTTTACATATAAATATAATAATTTGGGGTATGAAAAAAAATATATTTTTTAATTTAATATAATTTTTAGGTTACTTTTAATCTTATGTGTTTGGTTGTATGTGAATGCTTTTGAGTACCATGTAAAGACAATTATCAATAATATCAAGGGTATGTCTTCTCCTTGTACTGGTCGAAGGCTTTTGAACTTTCTATGCTTAGTGATGTCTCGTGTTGTTCCCTTCTCTTCTACATAATTTGATATTAGTTTTTGGGAACTTGCTTGGTTTTAGGAATATTTGTTAAAACTTTGTCTCTATTTTTGGCGATGTTAACCTCAATAATCTAGTGATTTTTTATGGCTTTCAAATTTTTTTGAATTTCTTTGATTTTATTGATCATTAAATTATTATCTGGACAGATTTCTCATATTTTATTGTTTACATTACAAGGGAATGAATTATATTTTTATTGGGGGTCATTGGAACTACAGATTCCTAAAATTGTTTCTTGTGTTTCATAAATTGAATCAATTTGATGATAGAATCTGTACACCCTAAAATTATTTGCTCAATAGCCATATAATTGATTGGTGTGGCAACATTGTTAGGACGTAAAGACCATGACAAAATATTTTTATCACCACAGTTCTCTGTTTAATTCATGAAGTTCATGAAGGTCAACCTCTACCGACATCAATTTACAAGCAACCTTCTGTTCAATGATTCTGCTAATATGCATGAGCTCTAATTATTACATCATATTCTTTTTGCTTAAATTATAATGCCTTTAATGTTTCAGAGTATATCTCAGAGACAAAAATTGAAAGCAATATTCTTGAAGAACGTGATCCAGAATATGATGCCATGCTTAAAAAGATGGCTGGAACAATCAGATCAAAACCCGGAGGAAAGCTAGAAATGGGTGAGGTGAGTAAGTAAAATTTTGTTTATTAAGCATTGACAGAATAAGGTATGAAATGCAAAAATACCTCAGTTTATTAAATTGTTTATCAATATAATCCTATGGAAACACAAAATCATGAATATCATCACAAAATTATACATAACATACATTTACGTGCTTCCATAGTGAGCAAAAAATAGAAAAGTGAAATAAATGAAGCAACTTCTTATAAAATAGCTAATATGCCATTTTTGCATGTGGAGAACATATCGACCATAAAGTGACGAGGGGCTATAGGCCTATAGCACTTTATGATCGGAACTATAGCTGTTCCATTACTAGGACTGGATCAGTCCCCTGTTAGTATTTTTTGTTTCCAGGTATTGATGGGTTTCCATGGGCTATTGCAGTACTACGCCAGCGATATTGCCATATGAGCATTTCTACTGGCTTGCATGTTACCTTCAACTCACTGGACTTGATTTTTTCTATTATCTAGTCCTGCAACTTGTGGATTTCTGTTTTATGAGATTTGCCTTTCCGATCTGGCTCATGTTCAAACAATTTATCTCGTATGATTTAACTTTGAATTTTAATCTGATTAAGATTTAATTTGATAGTTATTTGGAATTACGTAGTGCTAATCTAGTGCCAAGCATAGTAACTAAGCTAGGTATCAGGGGCCTATAACTTTGATCAAAGATTTTTTTTTTTTAAACCTTTAATCTTGTGCGTGCAAGCCTGATGTGTGATTCCCTTAATCTTGGAATGGTAAGAGACTATCTAATTTTAGGGGTAATCGTCTCTTTTTACTAGTCTAAATTGCTTACTTGGTGAATTATTTTATTGGCCTGATTTCTTCTAGCTTGTTATTGTCTTATTAGTATTTTTATTTTGCTTTAATGCAGCCTAAAAGAAATCCTAATTTTGATGAATAAATTGCAATTACTCGCTGTTTTTGCTTGGTTTACATTTCTCATCAATTTATGTGGATTTATTCTATCATCGTATTATGTCCTGGGTTCTAATTCTTGTATTTAATTGTTTGCATTTTAGAAAAGCAAGTTGTTATATATTTAGTTGTCTGTGAGATGCAAATATTTAATTCTTTTGTTATCTTCATACGAACATCAGTTTAATTGCATTAGAAAATCATAATCCTAAATCATCCCACATCATAAATTTCAAATCTCATTTTTAATTGTTTAAAACTTGCATCTAACCTTTTAAAACTACTGAATTGGACGTGCATGGCAAACTATCCTTGTGCATGCAAGTTTCTTAAACATAGTACCTCCAGTATCATTGTTTAATCTGTGGGCTTCGAAAATTCATGCCCCGACCTCCCCTCTCCCCTCTTTTGGGAGAGTTTTAATGATGTTTCGGGTCTAATTTGTAGAAGACAGATTGATTGTGGCATAAAGCAGTACCCAGAGATTTCGCTCTCATTTTATGATGACTTTGTAATTTGGTTCTAGGTTTCCCATAGGGGCAATGATAAGGGAGCACTTTCGATTAAGGCTAGTCATTTAATAGGTATGAAATACCTAGCATATAGTAGCAACATATGAAGTTTTTAGAATTATAACATTTATTATTTTTGTGCTTAATGCGAACAGTGGGGGAATGATGACGAACCCGATTAAGATCCCATGGTTCCATCGTATCGGGCCGTCATGGTCCCTAGTATACTTAGTTAGAGGAGGTAGTCGACCTAACTTGACCTAAGGATTCTTGTCAGCAACCATGAGTTGCTTCGTTTAAGGGTACCTTGTAGATTTGGGATGGATGCTTATTTAAGGAGACAAAATTTTGTCAACTTTAGCTAACAGAAAGCTTTATGCCTTATTGAGTACACCCTATGATTTATTACTCAAGAGGCTTTTAACCACGGGGAACATACAGACTTTTACTGTAACTGTGATACAGTGGTGCTATTTTGCAGCAAAACCACCTGGTCAGAGGGCATATGCCACGTCCCCGCTGGCGAAAAATCATTTAAGAATGAATCACAGTGATACATTCACATTGTGAACTGAAGTTATTCTTAAATTTATCATCTTTAACAAACGTTGTGGATGATCGATGAATTTTTGTTTTAAATTTTAAATAGTAAATTTTATTTAAATATTTGTATATTAAAAAAATTGAGTTTTTCTATTTTATCAAAATTTTGTTCCAAATATGATTTATTTTTTAAATTTGGGGGCATTTTAAATATTTGAGGTCTTCTCTGGTTGAGATTAATTTTTAATACTGTCATCATCAGAGTGTTAATTTAGCCACTTAAAAATATTTGCATTTCATAAGCATTTGGAGGCATTTGAAGGTCTAGATTTCCCTCCGGTTGATATAAACATTCAATACGGCTATCATTAGGAATTTAAATAGCTTGTATATTTGTTATTTAAACCATATCAATTCTATCTACATGCTCTACATGCTTACAGAAGATTGGGTTTAGTATCGATTTTATCCTTTTAGTAGTGAACATTTCTTTTAATAGATCTTGAAGATCTAATATGAACTTATAAAATCAAATACTCCGATTGGCACCATGACCTTGTATTTATTAGTAGTTCAAGTTGTGTCAACTCCTGTCTATTCGAACATGAGGATTAGATTTAAACTTAGGTTCACTTTTGACCAACACAACATTCTCAGATTTTATATTTATCTGCTTAGTGCATTTTGTCAAAGCATATGCGGGTTTTTTAAAATGCTTAGTATTTTAATATGCACACTTCTCGAGGTATTGACTCGCTTCTCATAGCAATTGCACTCTTCTCAAGGTAGTCGCTTGTTTTCAAAGGCTGCTACACACATCTAAAGGCATCGACACCCTACTCGATGCTTAATATTGAAATTTAGAAAATTCTATTTGAACGCAGGAGGGGGGGGGGGGTGCATTTTAAAAACTCAAATTTGATTATTTGTGTAGGTGATTGTCATTCGGATATGCATAAAATTTCATTTAGGGCCTACAAACGCCTTATGCTGCTTGTAAACGTGTTGCAGATCTGGTGGCGTTTGAATTTCACAAACTTATTGAAGTGTTTGAACACTTATCAATATGATTGCACACTTATTGATGTGACGGTGTGCAGCTCGAAGCAATATAGTTATTGAAATCATGGTGCACGTTTCTAAATGATAATACTTTCTGGAGGGTCGGTACATGCCTATTTTTTTTAGAACATTACCAACAATATACTTCTCAAGATAGGGACCTTTTAGAAGTTGAAAGCATGCCTAAAACTAATAGTGTGCTTTTCAAAATGTTAATAAATTTCTCAAAGTCGAATCATATTTATTGAAATAATTATGCACTTGTCGAATTATTAATTGAGGCAATAGTGTATTTTTAGATTCGACAATATATCAAATTATATTCTTTCTTTGTCTTTTTATTGATTTGGACCTGTCACATCAACTCTAACACTCATGCACCAAGTTATTTCATAATATTCAGACAATCTGTTGTACAAAATCTTGGGACCTGTCACATCAACTCAAATATGATTATTTGTGTAGGTGATTGTCATTCGGGTATGCATAAAATTTCATTTAGGGATCTACAAACGCCTTATGTCTGCTTGTAAACGTGTTACAAATCTGGTGGTGTTTGAATTTCACAAACTTATTGAAGTGTTTGCACACTTATCAATATGATTGCACACTTATTGATGTGACGGTGTGCAGCTCGAAGGAATATAGTTATTGAAATCATGGCGCACGTTTCTAAATGATAATACTTTCTGGAGGTCGGTACTTGCCTTTTTTTAGAACATTATCAACAATATGCTTCTCAAGATAGGGACCTTTTAGAAGTTGAAAGCATGCCTAAAATCTAATAGTGTGCTTTTCAAGTGTTAATAAATTTCTCAAAGTTGAATCATATTTATTGAAATAATTATGCACTTGTCGAATTATTAATTGAGGCAATAGTGTATTTTTAGATTTGACAATATATTAAATTATATTCTTTCTTTGTCTTTCTATTGATTTGGACCTTTCACTTCAACTCTAACACTCATGCACCAAGTTATTTCATAATATTCAGACAATCTGTTGTACAAAATCTTGGGACATGTCACATCAACTCAAATATGATTATTTGTGTAGGTGATTGTCATTCAGATATGCATAAAATTTCATTTAGGGATCTACAAACGCCTTATGTCTGCTTATAAACGTGCTGCAGATCTGGTGGCATTTGAATTTCACAAACTTATTGAAGTGTTTGAACACTTATCAATATGATTGCACACTTATTGATGTGACGGTGTGCAGCTCGAAGCAATATAGTTATTGAAATCATGGTGCACGTTTCTAAATGATAATACTTTCTGGAGGGTCGGTACATGCCTATTTTTTTTAGAACATTACCAACAATATGCTTCTCAAGATAGGGACCTTTTAGAAGTTGAAAGCATGCCTAAAAACTAATAGTGTGCTTTTCAAAATGTTAATAAATTTCTCAAAGTCGAATCATATTTATTGAAATAATTATGCACTTGTCGAATTATTAATTGAGGCAATAGTGTATTTTTAGATTCGACAATATATCAAATTATATTCTTTCTTTGTCTTTCTATTGATTTGGGCCTGTCACATCAACTCTAACACTCATGCAACAAGTTATTTCATAATATTTAGATAATCTTTTGTACAAAACCTTAGGACCTATCACATCAACTCAAATATGATTATTTGTGTAAGTGATTGTCATTCGGATATGCATAAAATTTCATTTAGGGACCTACAAATGCCTTATGTCTGTTTGTAAACATGTTGCAGATCTGGTGGCGTTTGAATTTTACAAACTTATTGAAGTGTTTGCACATTTATCAATATGATTGCACACTTATTGATGTGACGGTGTGCAACTCGAAGGAATATAGTTATTGAAATCATGGTGCACGTTTCTAAATGATAATACTTTCTGGAGGTCGGTACATACCTATTTTTTTAGAACATTACCAACATTATGCTTCTCAAGATAGGGACCTTTTAGAAGTTG